CGATGCATCATGCAGACCATGGACGTCATGCGCAAACAGGTAAACCCTTGGATTTCAAAAGTAGTAGGTTCGACCGTATATATAAACCCTGATTGCAAAAACGTTGATGTCATTTGCATTTTATCTTACATTTTCCTTAAAAGTAATAGGTTATCGATTATTTGATTTGGTGGGGAGGGGAAATCACCGGAAATGAGCATCTTGGCATGCGTCACAGACACATACTAACATTTTTCAACCTTGTTTAGTCAATAAACCGAAGTACTTTACGTTTCTTTTTTCTTACATCCGTGCGGCCCGCCGGTCCAAAATGGCCTGCATTCCTGTCCCGTTCCACGGCCCGATGGTTTGGGATCATCAACCTAGTATATGAAATGTGCTCCACAAATATAGCTGCCGTTTTCTTGTCCCTTATCCTGTGCATTAAATAACGAAAATATGTTGATGTGTTATGGTTATAAAGACAGTTCCACACGTGGGTTTGTACAGCGCTTAACCCTTTCAGGGACAGCGCTTACAATAGTACCGTATTTTCTGCACTATAAGGCGCTTCGGATTTTCAGGTGCACCTTCAATGAATGGCCTATTTAAAAATTTTTCATATATAAGGCGCACTGCATTATAAGGCGCATAGAATTGAAGCTACAATCGTGGCTGCGATTGTGCTATGCATCCACTAGATGGTGCCACACTAAAGGGAATACAAAACAATTCAATATGCAATTCAGAATAAACATTTCTCCATTGTGGGACAAATAAAGGTTTTCTTATCTTAATACAGCTTTATTTATATAGAGCCTTCACAACCGCTGCAGCTGTAACAATGAGAACTGGTCACAACTGTCAACAAAAACGCACACTAACCTCATGGGCTCACATTCACAATGGGCTAAATATCTTTAGAAGTCTTACTTGTCTCCTCCTTCCTTCATTTAGTCAGTAGTTAACTATGCTTTTGGCATTATCTTCGTTTCATAATGGCTGCGCAGAGTTCACAAAGCACCTGTCTGTTTGAGTGTGTGTTGGCGAATGCACATGTCAGGCAGAACCCAGAACCCTTTTAGGTTCCAATTGCTTCGTGCTGATAATCACCAGATGGCATCGGAACACTATTAGGGAAACTACTCAATGGGGAATAGAAAGAGAGTTACATTTTCTTTATATTAAGTGCATTGGATTATAGGGCACACCTGTTTTGAAAAAATGGAATGCTTTTAGCTGCACCTTAGAGTGCGGAAAATACAGGAAATCTCATGTTTTCTCTGCCTGCCACCAGGGGGCCAGAGTTGAGCTCTCTGCTAAAAACCTCACGGTAATGGACCAGATGCCGCCGTCAGCACCAAGGTACCGCAAAAATGTATTCCTCAATGTATGGCTTTTCTCTCGGCGCAATTCCCTAATCCTATGTTTTGTCTTTGAAACAGACTCTTCAAGCTATGTTTGCCACCCTCAGATGGAGAACTCTAAGAAAAACAAAACAAAACAAAACGTACAACTCAGAGAGAACTCGCAAATGCGGGCAAGGGAGACGTGAAACAATCAAATGTTCCGCCACTTTTTCCATCAAAAGGACAGCGCTTATGGACAGAACCTCTTCCCGACAGCGCCTTTGTTGCCATGGATTCCAACACCAATCTAATCATAAGCGCTCAATAACGTCTGGCTTCACCTTTCGAAACCAATGCAACCTGAAGTTGATCATCCAAGTTCTATCGGGAAGCAGCCCAATATCCACTTGCGCTGCCGCCACAGCCCTCACAATAACTGGATTAACCAAACTAGCTGTAACTTCCACCCGAAAACTCGAAGATTGTCCTTTTTTTTTTTTTTTTTTCCTCAGACTGCAACTCCGGAGGACGGTCTGCGTTGTTATTAAGACTGCTGTTCCGCAGGGCTCAGTGTTTGTCGAGGGTGGAGAAGCAGAAAGTTATGGCAAAGTGATGGAAAGTCTGGATTTTAGGGGCGGATCCAACCCAGTGCATGTGGTTACTGTGCAATTACTGTAGGCTTAGTGTGAGTACTGTATTGCCGCACTATATGAAGGATAGTTATTTATTGTGTCTGAAAGCAGCTTTTTTTTTTTTTTAATCCCTTATACCACACCAGGTTTTAAAGAATCTACTAGCATTCCAGCTGGCATATTGAACAGTATTTAAAGGACCAATGACCTGCCATCAGTGCTTGTTTCTTGTGATCTATTTATATAAGTTTTTGTCAAGGAGGTCTTTCATTCATATTCAGGAGGTATAAAAGGAGGGGGAAGGCAGGGGAGGGGGGATTACCAGAATCGGGACAAACAAAACAAAACAAAAGAAAACCACGAAACATTTTGTCCAGTCAATGGACAACAATATTTAATCGTTGGTAAATTATTAATATATTCATTAAAATGTACTACCTGAAGGATTACCTTCTGATACTGGTGTTTATTTTAACATGTTTAAGTGGTCATAAGACTAGGTATTAAAATAAAAGACTCAATGAGGGCATGTGACAGTGTTAGCAAAAAAAAAAAAAGTACTGTAAAGAGTCATTAGGTGGCGCTCAAGAAAGGGATCGTCGTAACATTTCTTTGTACATACAAGCTGTAGCCGTGACAAGGAGCAATTGTTAGCTTATGTCTTAAAGCAGATAAACAATGGCATTTATTGAATTGGATATTTTTTATGTCAAATGTAGTACGTCAAAGGTGTGCTTTCTTAAAAAAAAAACAAACAAATGGACGCTTTGTCAGTGTAACCTCATCGATCGGTGTTTTTTCTGGCTATGACAAAGGTTTGAAATGCATTTCAGCAATCTCGACATGCTGCGTTCATCAGACCGCTGGCTTCTTCTACTGACTATTTATTCAAAAGAAATCAGGACCCAAACCACATCCAATTCGGTCTTAAGGCGAGGTCCTTCATCGCCGCGTCAGCTCACCTTCCATGTGCGCGTCGTTGGTTTCGATTTGCTAATGACTGCAGCATGTTGAATAAACAAAAGCATGTCGTTGGTGACGCAATGTCTTGACATTATTCTAATGTTTCTTACTGTGTATATACGATATTTGCAATTTTATCTCGCTGGAAAATAACTGTACAAAGGATCTTTTGTTTCTAAAATGATCACTGTAAATGCAATCTTAACAAGCTAGTAAATAAAAATGTTCCAAGTATTCCTGTCTGTGGTATGGATAATGAAATTAACTCCATCGAACATCGAAATTTGTGGAAGTGAATCATTGTTTTCCCGCGCAGTATAACAGCCTTTAAATGTCTGTCCTTATCGTGTATATTTTACTTCCTAAGACAGGGGTGTCAAAGTCATTTTTGCCACGGGCCACATTTTCGTTACTGTTTCAGTTGGAGGGCTGTTCTGACCGAAACCATACAAAGAAGGGAAGAATAACTGTTGATTCAACTATTGTTTAAGTTACTATCGTGAGGGGTTTGGTAACAAGAAAATGCTCAGAATCTCTCTCTTATTTATTACATATGAGAATTTTGGTAGACATTTTAGAAAGGATCATGGAAGTTGACATGTTTGATCTGCTTTCGTGGGCCACATAAAATGATGTGGCGGGCCGGATCTGGCCCTCAGGCCTTCTGTTTGACACCTGTGTCCTAAAACATAGATTATTGCATAAATGCTGTAGTGCGATTCTAGTTTTGGCTAAATGTTATAATGTAAATTGTACTTGATGGCTTTTTCTTTCGTTTTTTTTTTTCCTGGGTTTTCCCATCACTCATTGGCATAAATAGCCTTGACAGCGAAGCGAGCCTTTTGTGATATAGCTTTTGAGTTGTTTTCTTTCTTTGTTTCGTTATTATCTCTGGAGATGTTTACAGCATCTTAATTCCCTCAAGGAAAGTGGAATCTTTTTAAATGTTTCTAAATATTTGCCAATTGTCTTGTTCTATTGTGATCTCATCTATAGACATAGCAGTGGCATTACTCATTGCACTCCAACTCAATTGGAAAACAACTAATTATCATTCTACCGCGGGGGTTGGGTGGAGCTCCATTGCAAATGAAGCTTTGCATTACCGTGGCGCTATTAAAGATGAATACTGAAAAAATAGGGTTGCACGATATGTGAAAAACATGCGACATGGGTGTTGAATAGTGAGGTATCGATACTGTAATATTTAACACGCACCGAAAGACAGTAGACTACTTGTATTCTCCGGTCATTCATTGGGATGACAATATTTTTTTGATGTACAGTATATTGCTGTTTGCTTGTACACTTCCCGCTTGCAGTTCAGTTATATAACAAGTGGAGCTTGACCAGCATGCATTGCTTCACAGCATAACATCTACTTGATGTCATGAATATGATGTTTTATAGGAAATCTCAAATGGAAAAGTCAAAGGCACCTTAAGATCTCTCTCTCTCTCTCTCTCTCTCTCTCTCTCTCTCTCTCTCTCTCTCTCTCTCTCTGTCCTTACATCAGGGATGGGCAACTGGTGGTCCTCCGCCACATCACTGTGAGCCGCCCCTTGGTTTATGATTTTTTTTTTTTTGACGGCGCTGGAAAATTAAAAATGTTTCCTCTCCTACAGATTTTTTTTCAATATTAAAAAAAATAAAAATTTTAATTTTTTTTCTAAGTTCGTGCTCCTAGGTGTCCCCACAATAGCGTGACGTGACGTCATGCTGTCGTGACAGACAAACTGTGGCCCCTTCCAGCATTGTAATTGCCCATGCCTTTAGATCATTTGTTAAGGGATGCGCTCAAGTTCTTGAACAAGTGTCTTCAAGTCATTTTTCAGTTTGCACTTAAGCTCGGGGCGTCAGCCTTTGTGCACTCTTATTCGTTACAAATTCCTATTCAATGTGAAGAAACAAGACATATTAATTCCACTAAAAGGCAACATTGATCACTTGGGCAGCAGCTAATTAATAAGATGGCAAACTAAAGAAACTTATTCGTTTTCCTGACCTGCCAGGCAGGCGGAAGTGGAAAAGACGAGGTGAAAGTCAAACTGCAATTGGTGAGGAGAATATTCCATTTTGCTCTCCCGCACGGACCGCATTGGCCGCAGCACTTGAGCACGCGCGCGCGCGCACACACTCACACACTCCTCATTCAGACACGGCGATGCATTCCGACGCCACGGACCACTCCTCGCTTGAGTCGACCCGGTTTTAGGATGGTGCAGAAATCCCTCAACGGCGGCGTTTACCCAACTCAAGCCAGCGAGAGGAAGCACAAAGTCGGCTTCGTGGGTCTGGAGCCAGGGGGTCCCGAATCGAGCCGGGACGGGGCGCTGCTCATCGCGGGCGCGGAGAGCAGCACCAAGCGGGGCAGCGGCATCCTTTGTAGACCCAGAGGCAGCATCTCCGCCGGGGGGAGATCCAGACCCCCCAAGAAGAATGCCAGTTATCGCAAGCTGCAGAATTTCCTTTACAATGCGCTGGAAAGACCGCGGGGATGGGCGTTCATCTACCACGCTTATGTGTGAGTGATGCTTCTTCTTGGCCTTTTAGGTTTCAGGGGGTGGGGGGGGGTACTAGCAGACTGCTGTTTTTGTGCCATTGGAAAAGATTATGCGAGGCATATTCTTTACTGATAACGATCGTAGTCGTAAAAAGTTCATGTGGTGTTGATGCTGCTCAGCAGCCAAGTTGGCATCACTTCACGTGTGTCATCATATTTTTTTAATTGTCATTGTGTTGCTGTCTTTCTTTGTTGCGACATTTTGATGAGTGATAGGTCCTGATTGGATTTTTTTCATCTAACTGTACTTTACTCAAATGTTTGGCATGCCTGCTTTCTATTCCTGACATTGTCAAAATGGGCTTGTTACGAACTTCACCCTCTGCCAATGAAGAAACAATGGGGTAAAAAGAGGATAAAAGGAGAGATTTGAGAGCTTGACAAACAGGGACATAAAGCAGCAACATGCAGGGGCAGCACCAAAATCTGAGCCCCAGGGGAGGAAGGATGCTTGAATGTGTTTCAATGTTAATTGTAGTTATTTCATTAGTTTTCATTCACGAAAATAATCTTTGCGCGTAGTTAAAAATAAACAAAGAACAGTCTGGACATAAGTGAAAACATTTTTTTTTAAAGAAATAACACTGTTTTCATTAGTGTATCACTGTGAACAATGTTCGCCTTTAAACGTCAGGTACAGAAAGCTTTTGGAATAGCATTGCATTGTGGGATATGGTGGCCATTTTGGCCTATCGGTAGCAATGGTGAATGTAAACAAAGCTATTTTGTCACGTCTGTTAAAATGCAAAAAGTGAATGGGACTTACATGGAAACAGTCCACAAAGCCTCGCTGAAACTATTTCTTTCTTCTCTGTACTGCATCTTTCTTGGACTTGTTAGCTAGTTGGTACGAGTTAGCAGCTTCTTCCAAGCATTGGAAGGTTGGTTTCTTCGCTATCTCTGATGTTCAGCATATTTGAGAATAGTCTTACCATAAACAAATATATATATATATATAT